CATCAACATACCTTATCATCAACATACCTTACATACCTCATCATCAACATACCTTATCATCAACATACCTTATCATCAACATACCTTACATACCTCATCATCAACATACCTTATCATCAACATACCTTATCATCAACATACCTTAAATACCTCATCATCAACATACCTTACATACTCAATTCGACATTTTATTCAAGCCATAACACACAAGTTCTTTTCTCAAATATTTGAACCCCCAAAGACATCATACACTGTTGATAAATATCCGTTAAGACTAATTGTTCCTTTTTTTAGGTAAGCAAAGTTTCATATGAAGTCACAAATTTTAAGAATCATTAAAACATTTTATCCACAAGTTCCACTACAAATGACATTTAAATCACCTTTAAAGATATGTAACCTATTACCTACTACTATGTGTTCCAGGATCGTATATAAGTACACATGTGGTGGCTGTAATGTCACAAACGTTGGCAAAACTATTCACCAATTACACATGCGAACATATTGGAGTATCAAGCAGAACTGGTAAAAAAAACTAACAAATCCACCAGACTACACAATTCCCCCTACATAGTGAAAACACCAACCACCCCCGTCTTTATTACCGATTTCAAAGTCATCCCATCTGGATCATTCAATATTGAACTTTTAACTAACGAAAGTTTATCTATTATAAATGTACTCCCAACTTTAAATAATACCACAACTTCACCACCATTAAATCTGTTCTGAATAACTTGTATAATATTGTTACAATTGTTGCATTATCCTAGTCTTTCTTATTTGTTTGTATTTTAATTATTTTTTGTAAAATGTTTGACCTTTATACATTTTTGTACCTAATAATTGATCCTGTTCAGTATAGTTTGCTGAAGATGGAATACGTATATTCCGAAACGTTCAATAATTAAATGTTTGTTACCGTACACACCCACACACCTGTGTCAAATGTTACCGTACATACACACCTGTGTCAAATGTTCATTGTTGCTGTTGTCGTTCTACTGTTCACAAGATGACATTCAGTATTTGAAACAAACAAAAACTGGGAATATACTGTGTGCAGTGAATGTTTTCCAACAATTTATATTAAAACAATGATTCGGAAAATACGAAATAGTAAAAACAACGTTAACCCTCTGACGTATTTGTATTCAGACAACAATAGTCGAAGCACGGTAAGCAGGCGATCTATCTGGTCGATCGCTGTTTGCACTACATTTAACAAACAACGGAAAAGTCGCACGTTTCGCGTTTCTATTTAAATATCGTGTCTTTCGTGAATTTTTGTTTGTTTGATCTACAACAAAAAACCTCTGAAATCGTTTTGTTTCAGTAGATATAAAAAAAATGTCTAGAAAATTAAAGCCTACATTGGTAGAACTGATGGAACTAAACTCAATCCTAGGCTTAGGAAATGCTCATTACGTTCGTTTGAAGTTAAGCACAAAACTACACAATGGGTAGCTCTGCTCACCACGGGTATCGAAACCCGGTTTCTAGCGTTGTAAATCAGCGGGCATGCCGCTGTGCTACTGGAGGCTGCCCGTTATGTTAAGTTTGATAGTCATCTCGTTAGGGTTAATGCAAATTGAAAGGTCATAATGTTGGTTTCATTTGATTTAAACTTCAGTCTTTGTTTTTCCTCAGCGGTCTTTAGGTATTTACAACTTTGGAATCTAGTACAATCTCGATGAAAGCAAAGTTCTACAAGAAAGTAATAAAAAACCTGTGAGACGCAATGTATAAATATAATCTATCTACATTTAAAACTTGTTATTTTGGGCTTCCGGAAAACCTTGGTTTGGGTACGATTTTATATATGACACCATGATACGTGCGACCGGTTGGAAGAGCCTTAAGAAATTATTCTAAATACAACTAACGATAATTTTTGCTACAAACTGTAAAAATAATGAATCAATAGGTGTCGCTCTTATGGCCTTTCACCGGCACGATTTTAGGATTAGTATTATGTTTTTACTCTCGAGTTATCAAAATAAAATTAAAGTTTACGGCTAATTTTAAGATGGCTTTTAAACGTTGCAATGATTCAAACACCACAACAAACCTATTCCTTTGGCCAAATAATCCTGAGAATTTTGTATAATTCCTTACCAGTTTTGTTTTTTTGACGAGTAGTCACAATTTGCTCACTACCTAGAAAAAAATGACCTACACAAGAATAAAACACACTAGATTACACTGGGATGATTTGACTAATTAACTGATTTACATTTTTTAGTTTATTAAATGACCACTAGGTTATCTTCAACAATGTCAAACGTCACGAAATTTCACTTATAAAAAAGCAATGTTACATTTCCTTTCTCAAACGCTTATCGGAAAATAAAAAAATAACAATTTCGCAACATTTACTTAAATATTTATACATAAGTTTTTATCATGTAAAAACAAGCACACATTTATTCAGAGAATGTCTGATTAATATCTGAACTGTGCTATTCACAAAATATCGGAAAAAAAGTCAATTCCGATTGCCGTGAAGTCTATTACTCATATCTAGCAGATTACACGCGCCAAATTTGAACCACCGTATTAAAAAACACACACACACACACACACAGAGTAAAACTGACATAAAAGAAGAGAGTTACAACTCTCCATGTAAATACGTTTATAATATTTTAATAATGAACTTAAGTCATGATTAAACAAGCACAAGTCAATCACAACACACTACTGTAAGTCACAATACTACCCCATATATATTTCACCCATTTTACTATATATACAGTTTGGAGTGTCACAAAGACTAATTCAATATGGATAATGAATATTAAATGACGAAAGGAAAGGTGACGAGAAGGAACCTGAATGAAAACAATTATCTGTCAACAAGACCTATTGTCTCCAACAATAATATAACAAAAGATACTGTTGCTAGGCAACTTTATGTGCAGACCACTTTATTATTGGTTTGGTAGGAGGGGAGGGGTTGGTAAAGAAATGAGCTGCTTTAACCTTTCGACATCAGACCAATTTTCATAGTTAGAATGCTATACATATTTTTACCCTACTAAGTCCCCCGAAACCAAATAGATCTGTAGTTTTAAGAAAGTCTTCTGTGATTCGCTAATTTTTAAAGTGACGCTTGAACGTGCATCAGATCTTTATACACAAAAGTTAAGTTATTTAATTTCTACATTTTCAAAACATTATTAATACCTTGACTACACTCTTCGCAAAAAAATAACATTTTTCTACATTTGAGCAAACAGGTTACAGTCACGAAACATAATTCATCAAAAAAGAAAGAGTATTTGAAATGCGATAGGACTATACCAATTCTTCCCAAAATACAAAATTTAGTTGTTTTTTTTTTTTTTTACTTTTAGGAAGGAACGAAAGTTGGCCATAATCCATTGAAGGGCCCTTGTTTTCACCTTGGCTCGTGACTACTGTGATCACTTCCTATGGCTTCCACTACTACGTATCACAAATCTTTAATACAAGTCTACAGAAACTTTATCTTTCACAAATTCAAAGAAGAAATTAAACACACGTTTAATAACACCTTTTTTATATCAAATTGTGATCTCACGAAAACCAATGAAATTCTAAATTACTGTTTCGTATTCGGCAATCTCTCTTCGCAAAGGCCTATAATAAAGTTTCGTCTGCGAGGGCTTGAATTCGCTGATGCTCCTGTGATCTCTCGTGATATCTCGTGGTTTTAAAGAATTCACGGGACTTGTCCTGGAAAATTGGAGAAAAGTTTTTATTATAACCAACTCGAGATGAATAGTAAAAGATACAAATTGATGCGATTGAGGGCAGAACTAATGCTATATCTATGTAGACCAAGGAGAACTGAAAGCGATAGTAACTGATGTTGTTGCTAAATTGAATTGGAAGAATTTTAAAAAATAAAATTGACTTGATTGAGGGTAGTTGTTTGCTTAACTAATGTTGTTGTTAAATAGACCTACGGGAATTATTAGATACAGAATGTTAAGTTTAAAGGAAGATTTGTCATATACCAATGTTATTTCTAATTAGGCCTAATAAGTTTGTCTTATAAGTACTATAATGATATTTTCATTGCAGTCAACTTTAGGGTTAACTCAGACAGCAAGCTTTTACGTTTATTTCTTTTTATTTTAAAAACATTACGTGTTAATGCTTCATTAAAAAAAAAGGTCGAGTATTAGTATATCTGCCTAGTTGTACGTTAATATCATTTACACTAAACTTGTATGAATAATTAGTCAAATTATTTTTACAGTCCGTGTTTTTATAAAATATTGATGTTTGTATTAAATAGTCAGTTGATTGTTGTTTGATTACTGAGTCGGCCAGTTACTTAGTTTTGTTTTTGTTTCTTGGAATTTAGCGCAAAGCTACACGAGGGCTATCTGCGCTAGCCGTCCCTAATTTAGCAGTGTAAGACTAGAGGGAAGGCAGCTAGTCATCACCACCCACCGTCAACTCTTGGGCTACTCTTTTACCAACGAATAGTGGGATTAACCGTCACATTATAACGCCCCCACGGCTGAAAGGGCGAGCATGTTTGGTGGTTTGCGGATTCGAACCCGCGACCCTCAGATTGTGAGTGGAGCGCCTTATCCACCTGGCCATGCCGGGC